GAGCTTTGCCTGAGCCGTTAACTGTAAAAAAATGACCGACGTTCAGATAACCATTACATATATCCAATGAATTTGTTTGTGACCTAAACTTTTTTTTTCAAGTGAGTATTTCAGGTTGCTCCCTCTAGCACCAACTGTGAACAACCCAGCGTACTTTGGATATTACATAACCCTTGCCAGGATAACAGGGTCATCTGCATACGCTTGCAGATCTACTTATTTTCTGTCAAGGGCATCAACCAGACTATCCATCAAAAGGGACCACAGGAGGGGAAAAATAGTACCCCGCTCTAAAAGCCGCTCCTGGTGTCCCTGAACCTAGTGACCTCATCTTGAAAAGCCGTAATGATTGTTTCGTCCACAAGCATGGTGTAGATCCTGTCAGTAATAGTCAATTCAATGTCTTTTTCAACAAAGGCTGATCCGATAGATATAGGTCGTGCATTGTTACGTCGGTATCGGGAAATACGGCCATCGCAATATCTATATTGTTGACGGATCAGGTGATGTAGTACTAAATCTGTCGATTTGCGGGTTTGATAAGCGTTCAGAGATTGTTCAGAGAGATGTATGTGAAGCGACCCTCCTGATGTTTCCATCCAATATCCTCTCAAATCCTTTCAGTAAGAAAAATTTAATGCTAGTTGATCGTGCCGATTTAGGGTGTGGATCTCTGTAGCCAGTTTTTTTTTTTAATTTCCTGCAGTGATCAATGAGATAAAACGTTTTGAAGAAAATAGTTACTATGGTATTTATCAAGAGTTGCTTCAGGTACTCGTTTGTTTACAATGAGGGACTTATAATTTAAATAAATTGATGAATGTAGCCGTTACTACGTGGTAGGAGATCATAATGAAGAAAAGAGAATTGAAACTTTCTATGTTTAATGTATTAGTTTGAAAATGTCCTTATAGGACGAAACTGCAGTAACGTTAGTTACAAATAAAAGTGGTAAAAAAATAGAAAGTTTCAATTCTCTTTTCTTCATGACTTAAAATTTGATGCATGTAAAAATTTAATTATTTATCAACTCTCTTTAGAGGGTAATCACAAATTATTATTTTCATTTACGTTTCTCATTTCGTGGTACCATCACTGTTAATTGCTTTTATTTGTGTATGTGTTCGCGTGCATTATGGAGTGGTGCTTGTTGGTTGAGTTAGAGTAGCTTTGAGCTTGACTTCGCCAAGGAGTACCAGAATCTCCTGTAACCTATTTTCATTTTCAAATGTATCTTTGTATTGTTGTAGAAATACTACAATTTCTAAAACTCAACCAACATCTTTAGATAATTCACTTCATCGCATTATAATTGATTGTCGGAATAGTACACCAAAATGCTTCAGAACGTCCGACACCGCGATCACATTTCAAGCGAAAATGTATGCTACTGATTTGTGTTAGCGAGATTGGCAAAAAAAACAACCACAGACATGAGCCAATAGGAATATGCTGAATCTCTTGCAATGGAGGGCCCTACAGACAGTTTCATCGAACCGGAACCTGTCATTGGCGTCCCTTTAGGCTTTGCCAAACAAACAATGAACACCTGGAGTGCAAGAAGATTTATGAACATCTGACAAAATCCACAGGATAAAAAATCCATTTCAAGTTATAAATCTTTCGAAATATGTTACCAAACAATTGTTAGACTACAGCAGGGATAAACTATTTTGTTGAACAGGTCACTGTCGTCTGAATCATCAAATGCAGAGAATTGGACTGTCGGAAGACAGGGTGTGGTATCTATGTTCAGGAAATGAAACAGCAGAGCATATTCTTTGTGCCTGCCCCGCTAGGGACTGAAACGAGTTTTCAGATTTTGTCAAAGATTCACTCTTGCCAACTGACCTGAAATATCACTCACCACATAGACTAATCGGCTTTATCAAAAAGCTAGACTTATTTGGAAGAGGTTGAATATATTTGAGTCAAAATAAAAACTTGCGGGTTGCGGTGCAGAAACGAATTTGGCTACTCACTGTGGATCTTACCTGACCTAACTAACTATCGATAACTCGATAACAAAATCAAATTTGAAAACATAGGTAATATTGAAAAAGGAAATCGATGATTTTGCAAACAACGAGTCATTTACCTTACCTCAATCAAGATTCATCGTACTTCACCGGGGGTGGAAATAAGAAAGTTGAAAACATATTTGAAAACCTTGAAGTTCTATTTAGAATAAAGTTACCGTTTTATCACAAACATTTTCGTGAAAAGTTGATAAGAAGTATCTTGTTTCATGTTGACTTGTCATCACTACATATAAGATTGAGCACCCTCACGGCTTCTGAACGCGATAAACTCAAAAACTATCGAGCGCATTTCCATACAGTTTTTGTCAATGGACGGAGTGATTCAAGAGGAAAGTTGACGAAAAGGGTTAAAATTTATTGATGTTTTGTGTGAATTCATTGAAAAATATCGATGTTATACGTGAGAAGTCAGGGTGGTGGTGCTACCTATACCAGCAAAAAAAGCCTAATCTTATCGAGAAATAATTAAACAATTCACTACATACTGTAGTTCTCTAATAGGTCTATAAAAAAGTCCGCGATAGCATATGTCTCTTTTAAGGATATATTACTAGGTATAACCATTTCAATATTCAAAATAATGGTAACTTATAATGTGGTAAGTAAGCTTTTAGTTGGATACTTTATAAATCCTTGTCAAATAAATATGTTCGTTACCTGAAGCGTTTCATGCACATTATAGTTGCTATTTTCGAACTTAAAGACACTATTTTGTTTTGTGTTGATATTTGAGAACATATTTTTTTAAATATTCTTCGAATGAATTTTATCAAAGATAATTATCAGTAGTTACAATCTGATGTAACACTATGACAGAAAAGAAATGCAGGCATAGGTTTTGCTACCGTGCGAAGCCAGGATCGCTAGTGAACTTATAAAATTATTATTCGATAATTTTGAAAAGTAAATAGCGTAGTGATAGTAAGAAAGAATCAAGGAGTTTTTAAAACGAAGTATCATGTGACCTTATTTCGACTGAAGGTTGAAAAGATGCCTATAATATTCCCTCCGAATAAATGTCTGTCTGAGCGAGTTTTTGTCTAAACAGTAATTGGTCTTTCGTCCTTTTCATTAGGAATCACACGTTGAAAGGTAATACCTCGTTAATCCTTAGCTCGAACACGTTTTGACTTCTGAGGGTTATCATTCGTAGGGGTGCGGCAGCTGGTTAACGGAAAAACAGATTTTGAACAGATTTTTTTTAAACAGTCCACCCTGTATAGTGCCAGGTGCCAATAAAAAAATTCTGTTCTCAGATTGAAAATTAGATCTTGGTATGGTACTTTATCAGATTGTGTGTTTTACCAGAACTCTTTATTTTTTTCATAGACCCATTTTTTTCATAGGCCTATTTTCCAATATATTTCCGTACCAAAGATTTTGGTACCCCTAGGCCTATATATGGAGTTGAGAATCCATGTCTGGCAGATTCTTCAGCTCTTTCGTTACCCATAATACCTGAGTTTTGTGTAATCCAGTATATGGTCGATCTATTCCTGTCCGTAGGTTTTTCAGTTTCTCACAGCATTCACAGACCTGTCTCGATGTTAGTTTTGGATTCGTCAGTGCAAGTGCCGCCTTACTGTGTGTACAAGTATTGATCCGCTCATTTAGGATCTGGAATTAATATTCCTTACTTATTGCAAGACTGCATATATTTTAGCCTGGAAAACTGATGTGTACTGACCGAGTGGGTTATTGAAATGAATATTTCTCACCGCTCAGTATATTTATTCCAGCCATATTCGGGTTTCGACCCGTCTCTACACCAGGTATTTCTGCTGAGCATGTTCTTGGCATGACTGCTCGTTCTTGACTCTTCGTGGTCTAAGACTTTAACCGCATAAGTTGTGTCGAACATGTATTTTGGCGTCATGTGGTCTGAGAACGTGTAAGATATTCGTTCCTCCACATGTTCCGAAATTTCTGTTTTGCTCGATCCCATATCTAGGTCGGGTTGTTTTCCGGTTCGAGCCGCAAGGTCGAACGATCGATTTTCACTTCCTATCGTCCAACCCATGTTAGGAATCACACGTTAAAAGGTTAGACCTCGTTAGTCCACAAGTTTCGACTTTTGAGAGTTGTCGTTCGTAGGGAGGCGACAGCTGGTTAACAGAAAAACAGATTTTTATTCAGATATTTCATAGACACTTCCTTCTGTAGTTCTCAAATGAGGTTACTGTCAAACACAGTTCCGAAGACCTTCAATCGTGATAATTTTTGCATCAGTTAAATAAGAAAAAAGAGCTCATAAACTACAGCTAACGATTTGATCTCCACAAACTTTATTTGAAAAATATATCACGACATGTTTCGCTAACACAGCAGCTTTGTCAACAGTGATTTTCTCTTGACATCTGGCAAATACTTTCCGGCTAATACCACGATGGATATTGAATTATATCCTACAGGTATTTGTGCAGGTTTGTTCATTAAGAAAATACTGCAAATGCTTCTCGTTCATCCAGCAGTAGGACCTCACTGAAAATAATCGAGATATTACTTATAGACCGCTTTCGGGGTATGTTTACTCGTTAGAACAAGATTAACTCAACCAAGATAGCAATGGTCTGGAACTCGGCTGACTTCATCGTGGCTTGACCACATATACGAAACCTTCGCTTGAGAAAAAAATTGATAAGTTCATGGGGGTTGTTCAAGAGATGAAGCTATTACTACCTCACTGTGATTACCATATCTTTTCTCATATGAAGGTTTCATATACCTATGCGGTAGGGCGACAAAGATGAAATCCTGCTGCTGGACGAACTATAGGCATCTGCAAGTATTTTCACTGTGAATAAACTTGCATAAATGTATGTTTTAATCACTCATTGACTAATATGGTATTATTCGGGGAAGTAGTTGTTTTCCAACTGTTTAGAAAGAAGTGAATGTTTTGAAATTCCACTGCGAACTAATTATTTTTTTAATGCGTGTGTAGCTCTCCTCTACGCAGTCATTCAACTGATTCTAAAAATGTGTTTATAAACCACTTTAATAATCACATCGGTCCACTCTATACATGTGCAAACGAACCTGAACAACAAAATAAATAAATGTGTAATTAATGAGAATGCCACATCATGGTTAACCAGCTGAGAACCAGTATTGGAAGTGGAAGTAAAATACCAGAAATAAACACACTATTCTCGCAAGAGTATGGTATCAAAATTCAAATCAGTATTTTCCAAACACTGTTGTACTTTTTGGAGAAAGTGAAAAGTGCTAAGCATTGTATGAAAAGTGACGCTTATGTTTTCTGGTAAATCCGACTGGATTACAATATATACAGTTTTTAAAAGTGAAAATCGTAGTGGATTGTAGTTTGCCGAATGTTTTAGGGTTATGTTTGTGTCAGTGTTTTGACTTTTTCAAGTACAATGGCAAAAAAACAATATTTGTGTTTTTTTATTTGGATAGTATATTCCAGTGTGGTAGCACAAGGTAAACAACAGCTATTATCTACAATTTTAGGTACCTCATCTCCGAGGAGTTTCATTCACTTTTCTGACTTACATACACGATATTTGTAAACAATTATATCTCGAGATGTAGGTAGCTTGTCATTTTTCTTACTTATTTCACATCATCTAGTAGTAGATTACGTTCAAATATTAGTTTGCATAACAAATTACTTGGGACTCCGGCAATTTCCCTGCCTAAAATATTCATGGCAGTATGGGTCGAGTATGATTTCAACTGAAATCCTTTGAAATTACTTTTGAGAGTCTGCATTTTAAAATTCCACATATTCAAACTTGTGAGTCACCGAGTCTATATGATAATAAAGATTATGTTCTGAAACATCCTCTCACAATTTTATAAAAAAAAAGTGGGCGACAAATCTGTAACAGTGCTGTGGAAAATATTGAACATTTGAGACTATATGCGCATTTTGAAAAGAAAACATTTTTGTTTCAATTTTTCATGACAAATCATGTAAAAACCACCTTATATTTCTAAAAAATTGAATGCTGTGTGAAAGGTAACATGCATATTCAACATAAATATAGTATTTATTTCTTTTTACACATCTTAAAGAATTTTCAAACAATCGATTCTTGTGAACAGAATTAAAAAATGAGTAGAGGTGATGACATATCCATAAATTGATGGATGTAGCCGTTACTACGTGATAGGAAATCATAATGAAGAAAAGAGAAATGAAACTCTATGTTTTTTACCACTTTTATTTGTAACTAACGTTACTGCAGTATCGTCCTATACGGACATTTTCAAACTTATACAATAAACTAACAATGATTCATTACATTCGCCATTATATACTATCCCTGTAGGTACTAATAGAAATAGAGATATTTGACTTGATTGAGTACCTGAATTTACAGTTCACAATGCGGATGTGCCAATTTAAAAACCGGCGAGTAAACTAAATCGATTTGATCATTTAACGTGTTGCACCCGCAATGTTTATGCTTGTGGATTTCCAAGGATTCTAAATAATTGAGTTTGCAACCCTTCCTGGCATCGAACAGAATTTCCGTATCGTTTAGATTCGGAAACTTGTGGTTGCATGCCGAATCATTATTCCCAGTCTGAAGGACCTTTCATGTTCAGCATACCGTTTTTGGAAATTTCGGCCACATTGTCCCACAAAAACACTATTTCACTCCTGGCACTTAAGCTTATAAAATCCAGATTTTTCCAACTTGTCGACCTTATCTTTGTCATTGAAAAAGAAATGAGATAACCTGACATGTGGTCTGTATGCCACTTCCACCACAGCTTATTAAGTAAGCTGTGCTTCCACATTGTTTTTTCTGAAGAAACCCTCAATTATCTCTGTTCTTTTTCCAAAATATGTTAGCGTTATCCATTTATTGATTTCTGGTAGTTTGACCTGAGGGTATATTAATCTGTAAGTGAATTTCTGGCTTTGTTTCCTGACTAACTTCTTGATAGTATCTGCGTTGAAACCAGTTTGAAAATGTCCGTATAGGACGAAACTGCAGTTACATTAGTTACAAATAAAAGTGGTAAAAAACATAGAAAGTTTCATTTTTCTTTTCTTCATGATGACATATCCCCTTTCGAAGACGCTATCTATGGGATCGACAAAAGTCTCAGTCCACGAATAAGATGATAAATGAGGTTCCCCAAGGCGGTCGGTTGCTACGCTTCGACATTGACCGCCGAACGAGATACGTCCTCTGTCTTTCACTGCGAGGCAACTAAATGAAACCAGAGCCGCTGGTTTGATCCGCCATATAACGCATCAGTGGTGCTAGACTGAACTACGAATTCATTGCTGGACTGTACAGCCCTCAAGGGACAAGCTGGAGCTGGAATTGAAAAATATTTTTCAGGAACATTTTTGTGTTTGTTTGTATTTGGGATAGTCGAATTTGATGTTGAAATTTTTGCACCTGTGGTCGTAATCAGGGCAACATGTGGAAGAAAAGCGTCTTGTTCAAATGTCAACTGACATTCATCTTTGGTGGAAATATGTTAGTTGCCAATATTCTTGTTACATTAACATTTTTGAATGCAGCTGTTTTACCTATTCTATATGTCTATCCACATTTATGGTCTCAATGCATACACACTCTCTAGCTAGAGCTTTGAAGAGAATTGAATCGTCTTCCACGGAAATTTATTGTCATAATATTAACTGTCTCGTTTGGGCTTGCCAGCATATCACCAGAATACGGGTGGTATATAACTGGTTTTTTCGTTTCACATTTACTTTGATAGTTGACAAAGACCTTCGCAGATGTTCGTTTCCTCATTAAACTTGAATTCCTTCATTTGTATCTCCGCCTATTCGATGAGACATCAAAATCACATGTACCTAACTTATGTCTTTCAAGTGTTTAAGGAAAATCAGAAAACAGGAAATTTGTTTTTCCGCCGATATTCCGATATTTTTTTCCAAAACTTTAAGTGACGAAAATGTATGGAACCTCAGTATTTCTCTCAAAAAAGTGAGCAATACAGTTGATAATATTTTTTTGTGATCTCCATAGTGTAGACTTTCCCGATAATTATCAGGAGAGTCTAATTTTATTTATAACTACGAAAATACTGCAGATATGTGGAATTTTTTAGATAACCAATTTTTTTGGTCTCGAAGTAGTTCAGGAATTATTTGAGAAATAATGGATTTTGATGATAGCTGATATATGTGAAGAACCGATAAACCCTTTTTGATTGACCCTTGGAAGAAGAATCAAATTTACAATTTTGCCGTAACTGTTATAGGTCGGTAAACATTGGACAAATATAGCAGAAATCAAATTTTCTCTTCGAAAGGTTGAAAATATCCAAAATTATCAAAGGTCAATTTTGTTGATCTCTAGTTCCTTGCAAAAGTACGATGTTTTTTTCGTGAAGCAAATAGTTTCTGTTTTGTTCATTAAAATGACTCAAAATTATTATTCGTCTTGATATTTTTCATATCTATTATTCATATCTAACAGACTGCACTTTCACTTTATCACTGTTGATAGTTCTCATGTCACACTTTGCTATTTCCAGATTTTCAAAAGCATCCAAAAATCTAGTGTCATTTACTGATCTTAAAAATTTCAGACAGTTTTCATTTATTCTATTGCCACCTCTAAAACATCTTACTAATCAACACGTTAGAAGCAAAATTAATACAGCATACCAACATCTGAGGTTTGCAACTCGTATCATTTTCATATTAGGTTTTATTGACGGTTGTTTTTCGAATACTACTATTGGGTAATTAAAGTTTTGCCTCTCCTGTAATTGACCATTTTCCAAACTGTTTTTGTTTTTTATTCATTTTGTCTACTTTATTGATTTCACTTTGAAAGTACACTGTCTATTAATATTTTGTCTTTGGTATTATGCGCAATCCAAAAAAGTCTTATGTACCCTCACCTTCCTGCCTCAAATTTTCTGTTTTCTTTATTTGTACCCCATTTTTTAACATTTCCTTTTTTAAAGAGTACGAAATCCGCGATGGTAGGTTGTGGTCTCATTCTCTTTTGAGTTGGTTTTTAGTTGGTTCAAGTTCAATTTAGAAAAAATATTATATTCCAAAATGGTTGCTCAAATTGGGTTGTACATCTTTCTCATCATACAATAAAGTTTCAATATTTGTTGCAAGGTAGTCAATTTGTGATGAACAAGTAGTAGTATAATTTACATCTGTATATACCCTTGTAGGTGAATTATTTGTGAATGACTTCTGGTAACTCAAGAGTAGATCGTATATTTCTTCGAGTATTGGTCAAAGACGAAACGGACTGGTTTAAGTTTGACGATAGTGATGTCACTAAATATTCTGGCAATATCTTGAATTCATTGGAGCCTCTGGAAACATCCTACATTTTATTCTATCAAAGAGAGGATATTGGCAGATCAAGATCTTCAGATGATGTGGTTCTGCAGGTTTTTCCGGGTTTTCCTGCAGCTGAAAAAGAAAAAAAACCTTCCTGCAAGATTATATCNAAGTCGCCCCGGAGCGCCAATTAATTCTTATTGTTGTTTAATAATTTCATAATTTGTATTACTTTTCTTTGTATTCAAATTATCAATATTCATATTTCCATAAATTATTACATTTTTGTATATTTTTACAAAATCGCTGAACATCCCTGAAAGTGTGCTAAGGAATGTTTCCACATTGCCACTGGGGGGCTTACATGTATTAATCATTATTTTTGGTTATTCATATCAACCACAGCACTCGAAATGTATTTTTTCAAAAAATTTAGTGATACCCTAATACATAAATCAAAAACAACAGCTCTATTGAAATCGTTCAAGTTCATCACCATGATATTCTTGCAGAAAACCATGATTCAGAGAAACATGAATTTTATTTATATTTCTTCATGTTTGTTTTTATAATCATTTCTATTTGGTTGTTGTGGAATTGGCGGCGGAGGTAGTGCGCCCGACTCACGATCGGAAGGCCGTGGGTTCGATTCCCGCCTCGACCAGATATTTTTCTCGAAAGAATTTATCTGGTTGAAACTGGAATGATTCTTCAACCGTGTTAAGAATCACACGTTAAAAGGTAAGACCTCGTTAGTCCTTAGCTCGCACAAGTTTCTCAACTTCTTAGAGTTGTCGTTCATTTGACAGTGACTGAACATTGATATGAAGGATTTCAAAAGCGCTTGAAATGTTCACAGAGTGATAATCATTAAAATTATTTTTTAGAGAATTGCAAACTACGAAATGGCTAGTATGGGAATCTAGGCTTTCACAGCTGGCGTCAATGTTTTGGTTGAATTTGGGTTTTGCCGTAGTCTTCTTTGGTTATAATCTCCAAACGTTTCGACTGCAACTGCGGCAGTCATCTTCAGTGGCGTGGTCAAAGTACTCTTCTTGACGTGTCAACTGAAAGTTTCAGTTTGGAGATTATAACCAAAGAAGACCACGGCAAAACTCAGAAACTAACCACTACGAAATTGCTCTGCAAAGAAAAATCTCTCAACAATTACTCTGGCTAGTAATCTGATAATATGAACTCAAAAATCTTCGAGTTCAATACGGGTTCGCTATTTGAACGGTTTTGGAACTGTCAAATATAGTCACCCAGTTGAGACTTGAAAGTTTTGCGCGTGTGTACTTTCAATAATCAGCTGGGAATAATTCAAGTAAACGATATAGTTAGGGAGCTAACTAATTTCGTTATTCAATAATAATACTCCGATAATTCCTCTTCCATATTATCTGTTTCACTATCACTTTCGTCATTTGAATCAATAATGAATTTATTTCCATCATTGATATGGAAGTGTCCAATCTCCATATAGTCTTTTTCAACTGAAATTACTTTTTTAATCCTTTTCTGCCCGTCTTCTTCGGTAATATTAGATACTTCTTCTTTAATTAGCTCTATTACCTTCTTATAAAATTTTGGAAAATAATGTTTACGTCTGATGCTTTGTTTCAATTTTCCCCAAATCAACTCGATGGGATTGAAAACACAAAAACAGGGGGGAAGTCTCAGTATGGTGTGTCCATACTTTTCAGAAATACACTCAAGGGCATACACTTTTTCAAATCTTTTTGTCTGTAAAACTTCAACTAGTTGGTTTGTGGTATAGCAATCCTCAAAATACAAATTGTTATCCATTAAAAACTTTGTATTTCATCTTTCCTCAAGTTTTTATTCGGTACTTTGATGAGCTGTCGCGAATGATGGGAAGCGTTGCCAAAAACTATTACACTATTTGCATCCAAATTTGGGATCGATGTGTTTTCAAACCATTTGTCGAAAATATTAGCTTTTATGTTCTTATGATAGTCAACGTTGCAGTCCTCAAGTTTTTTTCCACATAATTTCAAACAATTCGGAACCCATCCTTTACTTCCTCCGCAATGCACAATGATTAGTCGCGATCCTTTGTTTGCAGGCATGTCATACCAAGTTTCGTCCAAATAGGAAATTTGCCGTTGTTCTTGTCTATATTTAGTTATTTGTTCCAAGAATTTGTTACATAATTCCCCTATTCTTCTGCTTTCTATAACTGCTTGACGTTTGTTCATTATTTCAAATATAAATCCTAGTTTCTTTTTTCAATTCTGAAGAGTTTATTCACAGCAGCTCATGTTATGGCCGGAAGTATTCAATTTCTTCCTCATGATATCAGTTGTAGGAATCTCATTGCTTTTGTAACAGTCGTATATTGTTTTTTTCAATGATTTTAATAGATGAACATCTGAAGGTTTTGGTAATCCTCTATCACATCGCGTCTTACGTTCATAAGGTTTGTTTTTGATTATTTCACGTACATTTGAGAAAGGAATTTCGGTCAAATCTGTTGCTTGTAATAGTTTGATTCCCCCGAAACCAAACTTGAGATGTAGATTCTTATATACATTGAAACATACCCTGTGTGTTTCAGTATTTAAATGCATCCGAATCTTATTCACTGGTATCTCTTTTTCGCATTGTTCACCAGCGTTATTGGAATCACCACACTGGAAAAAGTCTGCGTTGTTATTACACTCGTTATTGCTATTAGTACTTGTCCAAGGACGCCACATTTTAAACAGATAACAAAAATTTTAAGTAATTATAACTGCATATCGAATTTCGACACTCAAATCGCGATCAGTTCCTGAACTGAACACGACGGTGATAACCATCCCCTCATTCCCCGATTTCTATTCGTCACCGTAACATGACTTCAAATTTAATTTTATGACTCTTCAGCCAATCATAAAGCTCGGTTAGTAAAAATTATCCACTACGAACCGCCAATTCTACAGTGCACGTGGACTATTTTGCAGCCGGTTCATTTCTATGTATTGGTTTTTTTGGCCTTTGAGAGTGCCGCCAACTTTAAGAGTGCACAATATCGTTTACTTCGACTATAACTATTTTGAACCGTTCTAAAATCGTACGAACTGCAAACCCGAATACACTTAAAATTATCGTCCCTATCATCAATTGGATTGTACCGACAATTGGTATACCGTATTCGGGTTCGGTAGTTACCCAGCTAATTATTGAGAGAAGACTCGCGCAAAACATTTCACGGTTTTGTCATTGGTCATTGTTCTTTGTAAGAAGTTTTACCAAATCGATCACATTTACATTAACCATTTTATCAATAAAAATATTTTTGATGAGTAGAATTTGGAACCTATGCTGTCCCTCGACGAGCGTTTCAGTAAGTAAGTTAGCATAATCAGTCTTAGTCATCCACTGATGACGTTATTTTCAATTTAAACGTAGATATGAATTTGAATATGCATGGTGCTGATGAGCCAATAGATGTACCCATCTGAAAATGTATTCATAACTCATACTTAGTAATTATGGTTAGATGAATTTGTTGTATCAAAAATGAAAAATGCTTGCAAGATATGGGATGGACAATCGAAAAAAACAGAACAATTACCAAGAACTGCATCTGTATTTGAGAAAAACCCAGAAATGTCATATATGGGATCGGTAGAAAAATGAACCATGAACGTCAAAGATAAACGAGTCTCAACGACGCGACGCGACACGATGGTCCAGTGCAAGTCCAAGCTTCGACATTGATCGCCGAATCGATTTCACTGCAGGTAGACAACCACAAACTCTTGTTCATCTTTAATATTGGTGTTTTGAATTTTCTACATTAATAGGTCACGAAAGTTGAAAACGTCGCATTCATTGTCGATCAATATCGATCGATTATTATTTTGATTCTTTATGATATTGAATCTACTCCAAATATATCATCGTCGCTTAATAAATTCAGAAATAATCTTTCATAATTATCTAGTTGGAGACAAATGCACGGTGGGACATTCTAATCAAGTAGGTGACTGCAAGATAATTTCACATTGCCCACAAGCCGAAGAAGAAGCTAAAATTGGAATCGATCCAACTCTTTGCGGGTTTTTTGAATTGACAACGCCAATTGTATGTTGCGGTAAGTGTTTGTCGGAATGCCTAATTCCATTTGAGGAGTTATAGTAGGTACTTTTATGCAGGAGTCAATTCAAATCCTCAACCGAATGAGCTGATGCCAGAATCTAGTATTCCAAATTCTCAACCAAGCAGTGACAAGTCCCAAGTAAATGAACTGAGTAGACCTGATTTCGTATTTCCCGATCATCATTCCAGCTCGCATATAAGCTCCAACGGATTCACTGGACTCAGCGAAGCTAGTAAGTATTTTTGGTAATGAAAATGTCACATTTAGAATCTATCATAATCTCAAAATAGTGAAGATATCATAACCATGACATGATTTCCAGAATTGGGAATATAGTTATGAAATAACAATAATATGATATATATGATATCAATAGGTACTGCTTTTTCATTTGATGACGGAATCCTTCCTATTCAAACCCATTTTGTACTCAGTGTTCTAGAATTATCCCATATCCTCTGAATTAATAACTAGCCTCCTGAAAAATATTTTCATGTGGGAGGTTTAGTGCCAATTTATAGTGCTATGAGTAGTTGGTTTGAGCCGATTTTGGAACCTTTCCCCACCTTGAAACGATCTTGACCTACGCTACAGGACGTAATCAAGGTCACTGAGGAAATGTTTTGAATTTGACCTTGAACGACATTGACCTACGTCAAGCGATGTAGGCAAGGTGACTTTGGGGCAGTGCTTTAGGCTAGACCTGAAACGACCTTGGAGTTTTGTTAATTCGACCTTGAACGACCTTTAACTGCGTGGATGCGGTGGTTTCTAAACTTTTTGCTTCGACCGTAAATGACTTTCAGCAACATCATATTGTGACGTAGATAAGGTGACTTTGGGGTAATGTTTTGGGTTTGACCTTGAACGATCTTGATTCACACTTCTTGTCACGCGATTATCTTGGAGTTTCAAACATTCAACCTTGAACGTCCTTCAGCTGAGTGGATGAGGTGGCTTCTGAAGTTTTTGTTTTGTCTTTGAACGACCTTCGGGAACATCACATTTTGATTTTGAGTACTGGATATGTTACTGATTGACCATGAACGGCCAGTCTGTGGTAAAGAAGCATCCCCATCTCCTGTAACCGAGTTGTTTAAATATTCGGAGGATCCAGTTCACATTCAATTTGAATAACCCATCGAATAGATGAGTGAAAGTAGTGTTGCGAAGTGACAGAGTACTACGTCAGAAGTATACCGAGCAATCCACGTGAAAATATTTTTATTTCCATACAATAAGTTCACCATATTCGAAAAGGATCATTTGAAATTTAATATGGAAAAGGTCAATTCTGCAATAATTCAACGAACTGAGGCTATCTTGACTATCGATGATGTCTTTGTTGTCTATGGGATATGGTAAATCCATTCAAGTAGTTTCATTGGATGAGGATAGTAAAATTTTTTTCGATTCATGGCTTCCAAAACATGTCACAGAACATTTCTCAGAAGAAATGATTCGCGAAGTGAATTCATCGAAAGCCAAATTCATTTTAACATATATTGGTCAAAGTTCTCAGGATTATCCCGATGCTCAAACCCGCTTACTGGTCAAATTCGATATTTAGGATTGAATTCAACTTCAATATCTTTCTAAATAGTGAAAATATGGTATATCAGTATATACCTTTCTCGTTTCATACATTGTCAAATTTCAGGTGAGTTTTTTCGGAACATATTTCCAAACAAATGAATACATTTTGCGTATTTTCAGGGTTATTTTACCTACAAACATGTGGGTGCAATATTCAGCCGAAGAGTGGCCGAAAGCAGTAGATTTGGATTCTGCTATAAGGAGGTTGGCCCGACCTGAGTTTAGGTGCCCTAAATTCATTAAATCATAATTTGAGTATATGTTATGATGCTGAAGAAGTGCGAACACTTTTGGAGTCCAGTGAGAGGTATGAGCTTGGAGTAGCACTGTGTCATAAATATTTGTATGAAAATAATAATTCTAGTGAGTTTTGCAACATGATGCTCAATGTAGACTTGGGTGCTTTTTTTTAGGGCAGAATATCATGGAGAAATACAAACCATCGGGATACAACTCGCAGGAGAAAGTAGGGGATGTGGAGGAGGGAGAAAGTGCAGCTTTGGATTGATGTCATTGGGAATATTTGGAATTTGTTGTGTATATTATAAAAATAATCATGCTGAAATCATATTTGCTTATATCTATCGAATATTTTATAATGATTCACATATCAATATTATTATGATTCATACTGAACGGAGCCCTTAACGGCATCGCCAAAACAGCATTGTGAAGGATGTGTGTATATACTTTTGTGTGTGTCGAAAACTTACATGCCCTCTATCTAGCGCCACCACTGTCAAGAAAGCCCCTACTTCTCCGAACTCTCCCTCCCTTCGTGTAACCGGCGCGTAACGTCAGTCATACGGATCAGTTGATAATTGATAGTGGGTCATTGCGAAAGCTGCCAATATCCATTATTTATTCACTCATAGTTCTATCGTAGTAACTGCGTTGGAAATTTTCATATGCACAGAGGCTGATGCGCCTAACTTCTTGCCGAAATCCAGATTCCAATTCTCATATTAGTAAACTTTAGAGTTCAAATATAGACGAATATCATAAATACTCGCATACTCTCGGATTGCTTGGTGTTTTGGAAGCCAATGATAACGTATCAAGGTTTCTCGAGGCTGTTGGTTGTCTTAACGGCCCATATATCTGAAGCTGTGTGACGAAGTGACGGTAAGACCTTGCCATATGTTTTGATTAAAAATTCACTTTTGTTTCACACATAGATCAAGCTGTTTGATCTACTAGTCAAATGTTGGTCTCCATAATGAGGAAAACTAGAGAATTTTAGAGATATGAAGGTAATAATCACGCTATTCTATGCTTATGTGAAATCCAAACTTGAATATTGGGCGATGATCTGGTAAACCATTTATAATTCACACGCAAATTGAAGCTATCCAAAGATAGTTTTTGAAATTATCGTCTTCTCGCATTACAGGTATTCATCCCAGAAGAGGAATTGACTATTCTAGCCTTTTATCACTGAATACACGTCGACTTTCGTCACATTCGCATTCCTGTATAATTGTGCTCCGTTTCTGCAAAAATCAATTTTCATGTACCACGCCTTCACATACGAGAAAAAATGTATTGTCAGAGTAGTAGAACAAATTCGAATTCCAGATCACCAGTAAATATAACGTGTAATAATTTCAATTTAGTATGTAACATGTGTGATATTAACCCTTCACGCATAATCAAAGTGTCTCGTATGAAATAGTGGGGTGAGAAGAAGATTGCATAAGCGCCCTCAGAATCGCTTCAGCAAAAGCATATGATATTGCAGAAGGTCACTCAAAATCAAACAAAAAACACACTTCAAGAGCATCTTCGTCCATGCAAATCATTCGAGGTCAAAGTCACCTTGTCAAAAATATAACTATAAAAGCCACCTTGTGAACTCAGTTGAAGGTTGAATCCTCAAAAATTGAAGATAACCACGTGACTGGCTCGAGTTCAAAGTCAAACCCAAAACCCTACCTCAAAGTCACCTTGTCTGCATCGTGTGAGGTAAGTCAAGGTCATCCAAACTCAAAATCAAAACATTTCCTCAAAGTTACTTTGACTACGTTGTGCAACGCAGGTAAAGGTCGTTACAAGGTTGAACGTGTTGTGGAGAAGTTCCGAAATCGGCTTTAACCAACTACTCGGTAGAAGGGGATAACTAGGACTGGTTGAAACAGGCGACTTCAAAAAAATAAGATCTATCGATGATAGATAGACTCAACCTAGTTCGCTGAGTTTCAAAATTGTGAATAGATTAACAAATTGCTAAATATGAGCAAATATAATAAAAACCAAACCAAAATGTATATCAACTAAAATATGAGAAAAGTGTTCTGAAAATTCATTCATCTTGCACTAGTGGGAGAGAAAAAGGTGAAATAGGTATCCATTATCCGAAAATATCTTCAGGGTAAATCAGTCGGATATAGAATTTGATAGATACCGTCAGTTATCAACCAGTGAGGTAGTATACAAGAATACCTTGGTATGTTTAAAAGGTGTGTCGGATACAATAGAGAATATCTCTGGCTGGCCCAATGGTTTGATACCAAAAAAATATATGTTCAGTGTTTCTGCATTGTCTATTGTTGCTAAATAATCGTAAAGAGAAATTGTCTTCATTTTACATCATGCAAAATAGACAAACAAAGAGTATTTCATTAGACTGGTGCCATTCGATATATACCACTCTTTCTAATGGCATTTCTATACTGATACCCTTGTCAATAAAGAGCATCAAAATAACTCTCCATCTTGAATTCAAAACTAAAACATATTGAAAAGAAGCTTAAGTACTGAAAGTTTCATATTTCAATTTCACCCAAATTATGTCTGAGGATGGAATGGAGATTGACCCAATAAACAAAAAAGTCGGGTGCTTCCTTGATATATGAAATTTGATAAATAATTCATTCGAACTGAAAAACTCATTCAGATAATTAATTACTCAGTCTAGAGTCCCTCTATGTCTTGGTACAAAACTGGGAATTGAGTTGACATATGAGACAAAGCCAGAGGTTGGTTGAAGTATATGATGTCACAAAATCAACCAAAGGAGGGTTATATAAAAAGAAGTATGTCTCGGTAACAAAAAATGATTACTTCAAGTTACCAAGAAAATAAAGGTTACTTCGTTCAATTAACTACATACATATTGTATGTATCGTCTCCTGGAAAAATAATGCCAGCCGCCGCTGACTGCCGTAAATCAACTGTGACGTGGAAAACGTAACATTTGGTGAGAGAAGTGGGATAATTGACTGAAAATGTTCTGTTTTTTGGTGAAAACAAGGAGTGTCGAATGCAAGCAGGCCTGGCGAAGAATGAAAATCGCAGAAGAGAGGAAGATGAACAAAGGAGAGAGAAAGATGAACGAAAGAAGGAGGAAGAAGAATTACGCAGAAATGAAGGAGATAAACGAAGGAGGGAAGAAGAACGATTACGCCGAAATGAAGACCGTTGATTATTACTGAATATTCTGAAGAAACAAGAAAGATACAGAAAGAAATATCGAAAATTATTGGTCAATATTCAGGAAAAACAAGAAAGCGACAGAGAGGAATATCGTGAATTATTGGTGAAACTAGAAAAAGATAATAGGATGTACCTTATTTTATATGAAGATTTGAAATATTCCAAAGTGAGTAAGGGGGAGGTACGGGAATTGATTTAGGAATAATTTGAAAAAGTACTTCAGGAAACAGACGAGAGTTTGGGAAAAGTAGTTGATGAAAGACTTGAAAGAGTTGAGAGGAAATTAAAACGGAAGCTTGAAGGAGTACACGAACAATTAGAAGAGGTTTTTCGGAAACTTCAGAAAACATCACCGGAGGAAATCGGAAACGACATATTTACCTTCTTGCAGTAGTTTTATTAAAAATCCAACCTTCGATGGCGAAACTTTATGGTCAATTTATTGCAGACAGTTTGAGGCTGCTGCGGAAAATAACGGGTGGAAAGATGAGGAGAAAGCAACAACTCCCAACTGGCACTACGAGGAAAGTCCCCCAAAATATGCAAAATATTCCCAGTCAATAAGCAGAAGGATTATGAAGCAGTTGAATCAGCTTTGGAGGTCAGTTATGGTAGAGAGCACCTTCAAAAAGTCTACCAAGCTCAACTGAAGGTGGGAACTCAAGGTCTATCCGAGTGGCTGCAGGAGTTTGGGGCTGAAGTCGAAAGGTTGATAAAACTCGCCTACTCAAAAGCACCTGATAACTTCACCCACTGGAATAATGTCCATAGTTCCAGCGGCGGGGTTCATGACACGAAACTGCAGCAGTCGCTCAGGATGACACGCATTAAAAATTGAATGAAGCCATCATTTATGCCCTAAAATTTTAAGCTGCCAAAAATGCTTCGCAACAACAACGAAAAATTCCAGTGGGGGCCATCAACGAAAAGGAAGACGAAGGAACATGAATGAGGGACATATAAGGCGGGACTGTCGATCACGTTCAGGATTCGAAGAAAGAAGAAACTGACGATCCAGATCACACGAACGATAGCGTCGGGGTTCACAAAAATTAAATTCAGCCAGTGTTAGGGGGGTACATAAGCTGCAGCATCCCACGCCCCCAGGTATTCGATTTCCACGATAGGACGCAACAGTAACAGACTAGTTGTCAACGGATTTCTGGAGTTACCAGGAGAAGAACTTTCTACCAGACGTGACAATTGTACGGGTCCCTTGTTTAGATGTGAGGAATCACCTGATCACGGTGTGGTACGGTCGTTAACAGCCTCCGAGGGTGACACTACCTTCATGACGATGCAAGATATCATCGTAGCGCAAAAAGGAGGATCCGGTCTTGAAAACTGTACGAGAATGGATTGACAAAGGAATGGGGCTGGAATGGCAAGAGATTTCCAAGCAGGAAAAGGGTCATCACGACCCTTTTTCTTTTGGGAAGTTTTTCGTGGCGAACAACCTCAGGGAAGGAGGTAGTGTTGTGAATCATCCCCTGAAAAAATATCGCCTGCCGCCGCTGGCCGTTGTAAATCAATTGTCACGTGGCTCAGATCGCGCTCAGCTTGGCTGAGCGTAAGTGCAGTCAGAAGAAAATAGTGCGTAATGGTTGTTCGTTTAAAGAAAGCTGATGCTGAGAGTAGGAACAAGAAGGTTGAACATTTCAAATGAGGTAATTTTATATAAGTGGTTCCACTTGTTCATGAATGGCCAGTGGCGTAACACGGAACGTAGTAAACCGGTTAGGGTGAAAACAATTGAGTCAAACCGCCGAAAAGAAGTACCTTACCTACTATTCTCACCAGATTCTTTTGTAATTTTCTTCATCAAAATCTGAATATTTTATTGCTATGTTCTTGTTTTGATTGTCTTCTGTTTTGGGTGTTGTGATAATTAAAAATTTATAATTTTTTTTAACAGAGTAACACAGTAAGTTATGATTCTCATTAGGTGCATTTCACACCATTTAATGTTTTTCTGAAATATTAATGAACTGAATGAACGAAACTATTGGTTGACAATAACGTATTTCTTTGAGATTGCCTTTCTGTGACCTAACATAATGATACTTAAAGTATGTAGTTTACATTATGATTTTATGAAGGTAATTCTTCACATAGAATATTTTACAACTTTCAGAATGCGAGGAGTATAGTAAAGGAGTAACTTCTGTCGTGCAAGTGCTACCATTGGTTACGTACCCAAACCCAATAAACTTCACTGTGCCAAAATGTGATTACAACAGCGTGCCACTCATAGTTGGAGGACAGCCAGCCTCAGCTGGGGAGTTTCCATTCATGGTGAGATTTGTATATTCTATCTCGGTACGCGGTAGTCAAAAGTTTATCTATAGTAGATTTACGATGCAGGAAAACTCAAAGACGTCTCCACAATTTAATATCACTCTAGGATGTTAGAACGGTAAAACCATTAATCAGTACATGTTTCGAACCTATATAGGTTTTCAAAAATCCTACAATAAAAGAAGTACAGCATAACAATAGTTAATACAATGAAGTAGAAAATTACTTACATGGAGAAGAAAAATGTTTATAATAGAGAAAAGAAAATGATCACATGTTACTAATGAATAAAATTGGAGGCAAAATGTAATTATAATTTTTTTCTTAAATTTTGGATTTCATATTTTTTTTTTGAAGAATTCTGATTTTTACTAATGATAATGTGCAAGTGCACATCCTGTATTGATTAAGTTCATCTATATCGGTCACATTATCCGGTAAATAATAATTAAGAATACTGGTGTGAGATGTTAATTGAAGACTCTTGATTGTTTTCCATATCTTTGAGCAGTGACTGTTCATGAATTCACTTTGAAAGTATGCTTTCTTCTTACGCTCAACAGCCACGTTGACGATATCCCGAAGCTGTTTATAAGTTGTCCAATCGCACATTTTTTGTCTGTTTAAATCTTTTGAAAGACATATCTCTTTCCTTTTCAAGCATAAGAACGCTACCAGTAAGTCAAGGAGCGTATTTTTCAGTTACTCTGCTAGTTCTATAGGGAGCATGAATATCTAACAGAGTTATATTTCCATTAATGAATTTAATTCTGCTATAAGCATCATTCAAGTTGTGAATATTACGCCACAGAATGGATTTCAGGTCACCATCAAACCTAATATAATCATTTGAAATTACTCTTGTAACAGATATCAATATATGAAATCTACAAGTGAGGCAGTGTTAATCAATATCATTGTCGGATTTTCAGTAAGCTGGAACGACTCTAGGCCATAAATATGTTCATTATGTCTTGTCTTGTTATCGTACTTTTGCAGATAAATACTGAATACTCGTAATAGATCAAAGCATCTTCTGTAGGTGAAATTTGGGAAACTGTGTTTTCATAATGAATAATGAAAAATACCCGAACTAGGTGTATTATATACAACACCAATGGCGAAGTTATTTTAACCTACATTCAATTCGATCCATTTTTTGTTCGATGTTTTTTAATCTTGGGATTACTGAGTATTCATATATCGATTTGGGGTGAAGACAAACATCCCTTGCCCCACCTTTCCTCTTTTCTCGAATATTTTTGTGTTTTTGAATTGCAACCTGTTCATCATCTATTTGACATGATGATGAATTAAGAATTATTGATTTCTTCATCCCTATTTCCGAGTAACTTTTCTGGAGTGAACTTTTCAGTTTTCCCTTATTATACTCGAAGTAATTCTTTGTTGATCTAGGTTGAAACAAAATTTAAAACAAAAAATAATAAACCTGCATATGTTTATAACAACATAGATTGTAATATGCGAAATTAAATGTATGGATGAATAGAAAATGATATTTGTAAAATAATTCTTATGATTCAGTTTATAACATTTATAGGCAGCTATTGGTTTCAACACGACCGATCAACCATGGAGATGTGGAGGAACTTTAATTAGTGAACGATATGTCCTCACTGCTGCTCACTGTACATTCACATCGGATGCGTAAGTATGATGGTTGTCTTACGCATGAAAACGAATTTGATGCTAATTCTGAGAATTATTTCACACGGGGTAGACGTTAATTGTGAAATGGTGGTGCAGATATTTCAAGCAACAATTTCCTAGGGTGCCAATTTCAGACCGACTAAAAATATATTTTCCTTTTTTTCTTAATAACTAAACGATAATGATTCAGGAATCATGAAACATTCAAAGTATATTTGTGAAATTATTGTTGAGATTAATACAGCAGAATGGATCTGAAATAATCGCGCATAATGTGAAATCAAGTCAGTTATCATCTGACTACGATTGTGTTCAATAATGAAAGAAGATGTTACGACTAGAATTCTTCTCTTCGCCCCACCCTTTTCACCCCTTACCTAATTTACCTCTTTCTCATAACTCCTCCCCTCTCCTATATCCCATTTCTTCTATCACTCCCCTCTTCAACCTTTCCACTCTCATCTCCTCTCCATTCCCCTCCTCTTTTCGCCTTCTCTCATTTTCCATCGCTTCTGCACTACATCCCTTCCGTTTCTCCTCTCCCTTTCCTTCTGTTTTTTTTTTCTCCCCTCCTTTCGCTCCTATCATTCCCACCCTCCTCCTCTTAGAAAAACTCGCTTTCGAAAGTTGCAGAGTTGCCAACCGTAGCGGAATTCCGCTACTGTGGCGGAATTTACTCGACGGTAGCGGCGTAGCGGATTTGAACATAAAGTAGAGGTATTTGCTACAAATAACCAATATTGAAAAAATGGAAGAAAAGGCAGTGGACAGCACTCGAAGCTGACAGTTGACACTTGAATAATTGAATGCGCAGTCCTTATTACCTTCTAAGTCCTTATTACCTCATATTACCTCATGAGTGATGCGACCCCATGGTTGCCAACTGCGTTAAAATAATGACATTTGACATCTGCTAATAAATAAATAACCTCATTTTTGGTAAATGAGAAACTGATTTCCAGAATATGTCATTATTTTACCGCAGCAACCATGGGGTCGCATCACTTAAGGTCAATACGTTATCGTCTCAGTAGCTGAGATCATTACATGATGATCGAGAAGAAGAATATTTTTGAATATTTTCATTCATATCATGAACCACATGACCTTCAATATCTTGAAAAAAGTCTCGACTGTCTCGAGTATTATAAATTATATGGAACAAATTACAGTGGAAATGAAAGATAGTTTATCTGATTGTAGCTCGTACGAAAGAGCTAAATTGACGAAAAGGAGACATGTTCAAAAAAATACTGAAAGTCTCACAAACAAACTTTTACTCATCATTGGTTGTCTGATTCCAAAGGATGGATTAAATCTGTCGCTTATGATCGTTCAAGAGCTCAGTGTGACTATACGTACGTGAACGAACTGATATTTATTTTAAGTTTTCAAAATCATTATTTCAAGCTAAGAAATATTCAGCCGAGACGACAGCTTTGAAAAATTAACTGCTGTAAATTTTGAAAATCAGGTACCATCTACAGAGTTGCGCGGTTGAAAATTAGCATGATCCTGATTCCTGATACTAGTAACAGTTCAGTTTCGTGATATCTGACCGGTACACAAACTACAAACTGTAATACCCGGTTCAGACAAAGTTCTGTGTTGTTCAATTTTGGATAGGGCGCATGCGCGAACTGATTGCGTAAGATATAGAAGCGTAGCGGAATATGAAGCAGTGTAGCGGAATTTTGGATCATGTGTAGCGACTTTATAGTTCATCCAGTTGGCAACACTGGAAAGTTATAAAGTAATTAGAACTTGCCTGAGAATAATAGTTTTCAGGTTTTATCGTTTGAAAATTCATGTAAATACAAGACGACGAAGTTCTACTTCGTCTCATGCTTTGATAAATGAAGTTTAGCGAATGCGTACTGCCTCATCAGTAGAAATAACTCGAGCATTTATTTCCAGTGGTGAGATTTCATGAACTGTGAACCTACTTTTAAATAAGCTACTTCAGAAATCCATCCCATCTAATAGCTTTTCTGTATTGTCCCTATGATCAGCATATGAAATCCAATCGTTCTTTGATTCGTAAATTGAGCCCTGATTTCTAGGGGCCCACCATCAGTTGTTCGCCTTGGTGAGCTTGACCTATCCACAGACAAAGATGGATCAGAACATAGAGACTACGCTGTTTCAAAAGTAGTCCTGCATCCCGAATACGAGTATCCTTGGAAATATAATGACATTGCTCTTTTGAAGACATACTCAAAAGTTATATTTACTAAGTTCATAAGGCCAGCGTGTTTATACACAAGAACTGATATCGAATATAACACTGGTGTAGCAACAGGTTGGGGAAGAACTGATTTTGCGGGAGAAAACAGTGACAGACTCATGGCAGTCACTCTCAACATCTTCGAAAATGAACGGTGTTATAGAACTTATCAAAGCAACAAAGATTTGCCGAAAGGGATAACTTCCAGTATGTTATGTGCAGGGGAACTTAAAGGAGGAAAGGATACGTGTCAAGTAAGTTGAATTATTTATTTTCTTCCACTAACCTTATGAAATTGGCAAATGGGGCAGAATACTCATGGAATATTTTGAACGATTATATTTCCTAGGTGTTGAATTGAATAAAACTAACATAAAAAACTCATGAAAATAAACATATTTATACTCACACAACCATTCACATATATACACACATCTCACTATGTATACACTGAAATCATACAAAATTACAATTATATACTTATAATCAAATATTTTTTATATCGATCCAGTGATGAATATTTGCTCTGGGAGTTTGCTTTAACCATTTTTCAATTCTAGATTTGAAAAGAGTAAGGGAGTTTATATCTTTGATGTGGGCGGGTATAACATTATATATGCGTTATGAAAATTATTGGTTAATATTTATTTTAATGAAAAACTTTTGTTCACAGGGCGATTCTGGAGGACCTCTTTTGATAACGAAGGAAGGAAATCAGTGCAAATTCTACATCGTAGGCATAACGTCATTCGGAAAATCTTGTGGGCAAGTGAATACTCCGGCGATCTACACCAGAGTTTCCGAATACATTCCATGGATCGAACAAAACATATGGTAGATGGAAAAACATTGAAGAATTCAACATATTTCTCTTTGGAAATTTGAGCAATGAAAATTTACTTTGTTTCTTAAAATTCTGTTTTTTTTTGCTGAAAGAGACTATATGCAGAGAAGTAGAGAAATATCAGATATTTTCAGTATGTGATATTCTGTAAAAATTTAGTCATGATAAGTTATTTCATTCAACTTTTCACAAGAACTTCAACATATTTTCTCTACTGGACTGTTTCAACGCCATATTTTTTATTTATGAATAACTTCAGATTACGGATGAATTGTAGTATATATGAAGACAGTAGATGTAAGATTTGTATTTCCGTTACAACAGAAATGCATAGTAAAAACTGATATGAAACTGAATTTTATTGTAATTTCTCCAACTAACTGAAGTCTGTTAGAAAATGAATAGAGCGCAATAGGTTCATTAAACTTATTTGTTTAATAGTTCATCTGATCGTTCAAAATATTGGTCATTTATTCGAAATACCCGTTGTGAGTAAATATAATAAGAAATAACTATTCTCAAGACATTGTCAATATGTTTGCCAATTACTCCAAATTTTATTTTGTGGATCCAAGAATAATTTTGTAAATAATGAAGATGCACCGTTACGGCGGGAGTTGTTAAAATTGACGGCCCACTCAGATATCCTAGTCCTTGCCTAAGACTGGTCAACCTATAGGTACAGCATAAATTCAATTCTGAAAATTAAGACTAATGACATGTGACATACAGTCGTTCCGATCGGAACGTAATCGTGCAAGTTACGTACAATTTCAACATATCTCGCTTGTAGATTCATTTTGCGTAATAATAAACTCTACCACCATGAAAATCACATTTTATTCCAACACCATCAACCATCACCTGTTGACGTCAATACTCAATAGAATTCAATATTCAATCGAGGAAAGTCATCTTCGATTCAAGCAGGTTGGAGCCCAGCTCCCTTACCCTTAGGACTGATGCTCGTCAGAAGGATGAGTGGGTCAAGACTGATTATTTGGCGGCGGTATGAAAGTCCTCAGACATCATTACCGCCTTTCACGGTGAACCCCTACCTGGCTGGGGTGTTTGGATGAAGATATTGTTCATCTTCTAACGGAGGACATGAGGGCCTCATTCGACAGAGTGTCGGGACCTTCATTATCGGGAGGGGTCGTCTATAGTATAATCCATAGCTTCCCTGACTAACGGATTTTCTTGGTTTTCGGCACAATCAAGGACTTGCCGATTCCTCGACTGAATGGACTGCTGAATGGAAGGCAGCTGTAAATCTCTGCGGATGGTTTCATTCCGTACGAACCAAGGAGCATTCACAACCATCCTTATTAGCTTATTTTGCAATCTCTCCAAAATGAAGATATTTGACGGAGCAATATTCAATCAACCTAACAACCGGTATTTATAGTTGTAGGGCATTCAGTGGGGGTGACAAGGAGTTGAAAAGAAATCTTCTAAAGAAGGGAGTTGTCTAAGACCGGCGATACTAGGGCGGAAGGCAGGGCTGGATTTGAAAGTCTGGAGGCCCTGAGGCATGTCTGGATTATGGACCCTGACATCACCAGAGGAGAACAAATGAGACTTTACCGAAACGTCGTGAAAAATTATTCTTGTGAGGATCAAGAACACGGAATGAAACCCAAAAAATGACCCATAATACCCTATTTGTGAGAATCTTCGCTAATTTAACACTTACATATATGTATAATTCTAGCTATTACATATAGAGATTGTAAGAATGCTTTCAATATGCTGAATCGAGACATCAGCTTGGTATTTAGATAACAGCTCTTTCGGAGGAGACTTTGAAGAAGTTGTCAATGCCCTCACGTCTGTTATTCAAAAGTCAAAGGAGATTGGGCTTGAACTAAACTTCCAAAAATGTGAACTTCATTTTCTAGGCGAACCTTATTTGAATATTTCGATAAAATTATACGATATTGTTCTCCTGGAATCAAAATAATTGACAAAAATCATTTGATTCTTCTCGGTTCCCCTCTCACAGAAGAATAATTCATTAAATTTCTTGAAGAAAAATTGCAGAGTTTCAGAATGATGTCTTCTCGTGTTCATGTACTTCCAAGACATGTAACTTTTCATCTTCTCAGGAACTCTTTGACTATTCCAAAGCTCATCCACCTCATGAGATGTTTTTCAAACTGGTACCACCAAACATATCTGACCAAGTTTGATGAAGAAGTTCGCAACACTCTTCGACTTTTACTGAATGATCAATTGGAGGAATACATGACATCAGACTACTCTTCCGGTATCTTAAGGAGGTTGAGGCATTCGCACAATCACCATCTTCCACTACTTGCCTTATACTATTCAAGTTATAGTGAGACCAATATGATAGATTGAATTTTACCATCCTGCTTTCCATCGGATAACAACTTGAGGAAGGCCGAACAACTATGGATCTCACAAACTGATCTAGAACTACCAACTACTGGAAGAAATGTTTAACAAACCTAGGATATTTCTGTTTGAAGGTGGATATTCCTTTGGTAGAAATACCTCGTATAGTTTTCTAGACTTGACTAAATCTCCTATGAAAAAGGCACATATAAAACATATAACAGCAGTATCGTCAAAACATGCAGGCGCTTGGTTGAATGCGTTACCAGTTCATCCCTTGGTACATTACTGGACAATGAATCTTCTAGAGTTGCTGTAGGTCTGCGACTAGATTCCAATGTTTCTGTTCAATACAAATGCAATTGTGAAATGGAAGTAGATATCACGTTCCTTCGTTCACGTAGATATCACGTTCCTTCGACTTCCATATCCAGCGGTTCAGCAGATTCATCAGCGGAATTGTCAAAAAAACGAAAATACAATTGCATTTTTTATGCAATAGGAATCGAAACATTTGGTACCTTTGGCCCCCAAGTATTGGATTTTATTCATGAAATCAGCGTTAGAATCTCCAAATAGACCAATGACTCAAAAGCTACCTCTTTCTTAATTCAAAGGGAAAATGCAGCTTCATGTTTAGGTACCATTACTCAGCATCAGCATCTATGTATGATGGTACAGCCAATCATATCCCCAATCGAGCAGTATCACAAAGCTGAAAGTTGAAATGTTTCGTTTCATAAGGCAGTTTAACTACTTACCTTCCAACATTAGGACGAAAGACATGAGAGTGGGTAAAAATTCCATGAACGACCAAGCAGTTATCAAAACGGGCACTCCATTCGGCCCGACGTAAATTTATAAAATGTTGCATAGTATGAGGACAGACTGGATTGAGGGTAAACAGTAAGACGTGGAAGAGTTTCTTGGTTTTATTTTGAACAGTCTGAATGATGAAATGTTCGAGTTAATTGATTTGTTTAAATTTTACACTGAAGCGGGAAACCATTTCACTCTGCTACGGGCAATGATTCAAGTGTTGAGTGGAAGGTTGAAGAATCAAAAAATGATAGATATGTAAACAAAAAGACCAACTTCGCCAGTACACCGATAACCGACATCTGTGAGGGGCAAAGTCGAGCATACATCGTGCCGGAGATCACATTACTGAGAATTTCCAGCCTTTCCTCACGCTGCCTCTTAACATTGGGAAAATGAGGACTACCAGGAAAGCACTTGAGGTATTCGTCTCCAAAAAGAGATTAGAGGGAATGACTTCGTCGAAAACTAATGCCCAGTTCGAGCATGGGAGCAAGTTATACTCTATGAACCTTCTGTTATCCTTATATCTCACCGTCTGTGTATCTTGCGGAATTTGTTGATGGAGTTTTCACGGTTTTTTGTTAGTTTCAGTGGAATTTCATTTCTTGATTTTGTTGTATGGATGATTTGAATTTATAATTATCATTTATTGTAATATTTGAAATAAACTCTAATACATGTTCAAACGCATCTGAACAACAAAATATATAAATATCTAAAGAATGGAAATTCTGCAACATGGTGAACATACTAATAATAAGTAATAAAGTGCCAGAAAAATACAAACAATACGTATCCACGAGAGAGGATGTGATTAACATATAAATCAGCATATTACTAAACTGATAAATGTGTGCAATTAGATAAAAGTCGCCTATATGTTGTGGTAAATGAAATTGTATATTTATAAATGACCAACTTCAATTGAAAAACAATAATCTAGTGAACGTTGTGTATAGCAGTTCATCAAATGATAGGAGGTGAATTTTCATTAATTTCCATTCAAAATGCTAGAAAAATGGATAGTGTTTTTTTTAATTTCTACAATCTGTTGCAGTGTTATAGCACAAGGTGAGCATCTATCATTTCTTACTTGTAAGTTTGTCTCACTTGCTAGGGTTTAATCGTTAAAGTAAAAATATTTTTATGTTTTTTCCTACATGTAAGGAACCTGAGTGAATTTTTTCACTCAGGTTCCTTACATGTAGACAAATTCGGTATTCTCTTCTTGTGAAAAATGTAGTATAATCGGCTAGGCAATCATTGAGAATTGAAATCAATTCTACATAAAATTATGAGTGCCATTCTGTTGTGACTATTTATTAGTTCTAGTCATCTCCTGATAATGCTAACTTGTTTAGCGAAACGCGCATCGAAAGACAGTATTTTATTCTGGTGTGGGAGTAGAAAAACGTTACTAATTTTATCGCTTTTGCTGGAAAACTCGAATAATATAAATGATGATACATATAATAGAAATTACCTTCAAGCACTAAATATCTAAGTCATAATTGAATTATTTTTTTAGTTGGAGACAAGTGTACTTTGAAACATAATAATCAAGAAGGCTACTGCAAGATTATCTCACACTGCCCACTAGTCCAAGAAGAAGCTAAGACTGGTTCGGATCCAACTCTCTGCGGATTTTTTGAATTGACCACTCCAATTGTATGTTGTGGTGAGTATTAGTGTGGAATATTTACTTTGCGATAAATCATGGTGGTTTTCATAAAGGCTTCAAATCAAATCCGCAACCAAAAGGGTCAAAATCTAGCATTTCAAAATATCATCCAAGCGAGATTAGTAGTCGAAGCCATGGAAAATATTACCAACATCCCAGCCTAGATATGAATTCCAGAGGAAACATTTCAATCAGTGAAACTAGTAAGTACTTAACACTCATCAGGGGTCTATTCTGCTAGGGCGATAATCTTGATATGCAAATATACAGAATATTTTTAGGTGTTGTCTTCTTCGTTAAAAAAAGAGAAACATCGTACGATTTCCAAAATAATAATTTACTAAATGTCCACTTTCGTGTCTCAGTATACCATGATTTTCTGACATAAGTTTTTTTCTGAGAAAATTATTGTAAAACCAAACACATGCACCTATTCGTATTTGATGTAGAGTGCAGTAGAAAATATGGAAAACTACCCCATGGTTTTTGTTTGGAACATTAATACAAGTTACTGTGATACTTAAAGTATGCTCTCTCTGAATTTCTCTGTTCATTATCATGGCCCATGAAGTTTTTGCAGTATTAGTTTCAATTTGACATTTATATTCTTTTTATTAGTTTGTATGCTTCAACGTGTTGTGCGTTTTTTGAAACCTATGTTATAGTCTTAATGGCTTCAAGTTTGTTTCTCATTTGTTTCATTTAAATTATTTACCAGTGTTGTTTAGATTTTATTTTTTATTCTGTCTACGGGCGTGTCTTCACTCAGTAAAGACGCGCCCGAAGAAACCATTGTATGGCAAAACACGTGTTGCGATTTTCTACAAATCCACAAATTGTGAAAATCTCACAATAAAGTGTTTTTTGAATACGTTAGTTATGGGTTTTCATCAAGTATCGGCCAATTCCATCATATAAATAAAATCTAGCCATCTTCACTAAATTGAACTTCTTGATAGTGTAGTATGCGCTATGGGAGCAATTATGGTACTTATACCTTTGGCACGATATAGTATACGTTGTCATTATTGGACAACTGTGATTTTGAACAAGGAATTGAATCACAAATCCCAGACTTTTTTTGAGTTACGTAATGTAACGCCGCGGTGAGTTCATCAATTACATACAATGATAATCATAATTTGAACGGAGTCATATTGATAGGAGTATTGATTTCATGTTTTCAAAATTTCAGAATGCGAGGAATACACTAAAGAAGTAATTTCATCGGTCCTGGTAATTCCCCTGGTTCCTAATCCAATTCCAGTAAACGCCATTAGTCCAAAATGTAAATACAACAACATTCGACTCATTGTTGGAGGACAGCCTGCATCCCCTGGGGAATTTCCATTTATGGTGAGATTCTATTTTTTTATCTCAATAGGTGTGTTCGTTCAATACATATCTGAGCGCATAGTTTTTTTAAATTGGTTAGGTTTTAGATATTTTTTGTAAAATTAACTGAAATTTTTTACTCTTGTCACCACATACTATATTCAGAAGAGAGTTCATCATACATTCTTATTGACATAATGATGCCTTCTTTAACACTAGCTATTTTTGGACAGTCACAAGAATATTCTAATTTTGAAAGACAATTATAAAATATAGTACTGATGTAGAAAAGAAAACTTTATCGATCACATATCAGAGGTTTTGTGTCAACAAATAATACCACAAATGTCGACTTGTTATTCAGATATAAGGCTCTTTAAAAGTTTTTTCTATGTTCATTAAAGTAGATTTTAAACTGTTATATCTCAGTAAATACGCATTCAATTTGATATGAATAAGCGCCATATGAATCAGTGTACTTTTGCCAACACAACACAAGTCGATCAATTCCGTCAGCATAAAAATTGGGTCCTCAGGATTCGATGAAATCGACGAAGGCTGTTTTTGCCTGGTCCTGATTAGCGAAGGTTCAACCGGTGAGAAAGTTATCGAAGTGCCTGAAAAGGTGGTAGTCGGTTGGTCAGAGGTCTGGGGAGTATGGTGGGTGAGGTAGAACTTTCACTCTCAATTTGTTCAACTTTCGGACGGTGATTTGTGAAAAGTGCAAATGGGCGTTGGAGCAGGATCGGACTCCTTTTGTTGACCAATGCCGGCTACTGCTGACGCAATTTTCGGAATATTTCGTCGATTTCCTCAAAATAGGACTTCTGCTATGATGGTTTGGCCCGGTTGCAGAAAGTTATATTGAATCACCACGGTCTTTTTTGTGGGTTTTCGCCTTTGGGAAGCGCCTGAGTGGCTGGTGTACAACCACTGAACCAAAAAAAGGGTATTTTTAGTTGCGCACAAGCAAAGAAGAGCATACCTCGAAACGTGACAATTTCTGTCGATCGTTCAAATCGTGGTACACCTACTTTTCTAGCTTTTTAGCATTTCCAAAACGTTTCAAACCATCAAAAATCGCATGGAAGCTCTGACTCCCAGTTCTTCCGCCATCCCACGCAGCTACAGTACCTAATACCTACAGTAATCCATTTTGGATTACTGTAGGTCGATCACTCTGGGGTTCATCTTCGAGGCTAAAATCTCAGGAACGAAATTTCTCAAATCAATGCCGTTGCCAAATGTCTGGTTAATTTTTCGGGCAGTTTTGGCAGCTTTTTCGTTCAATTTGAATTCGCAGAGAAAAATTGGCCGAAAATAGATCAACGACATCATAAAATAATGAGCTGAATAGCGGCAGAAAAATAAAATTTGGAAAAAAAAAGTATCATCAATGTATAGGCTACAAAATTCTCAATCGATCAGTGTATATGTACACCGACACAGTAGAATAAATATTAATTGAGATATATAGCTACAAAAACACCTGACATTAAAACGGACCAAACTTTTGAAAAAATCTGTTTGAAATCTGTTACATTCAGAAGTCGAAACTTGTGCGAGCTAAGGACTAACGAGGTCTTACCTTTTCACGTGTGATTCCTAACACGGGTTGGACGATAGCAATTGAAAATCGATCGTTCAGACTAGGGCTTGAACCACCGACCAACACGGCAGTCGATTTGAGTGAGTGAACAAAGCACCCACGTTGAACCGACAGGCTACCGACAATATCGAGCGTTCATTAAATAATTTCGCTGACAGAATACCAGTACCACCGTAGAGACCTAATCATACAGAAATAAACACAAGTAGAAGCAATTTCCGGGCGGCACTTTGATGTAACATGTAAAGGTTTTATTTTTTGATGCAGAAAGAGGGTATTAGAACGAAAAGTGTAATCAAGGCTGGCTGACACTAAATACGAGGGTTAGTGCCTTGGTGTCTCATTGTGATTTGAATTCATTTCATTTCCCGCAAATCATAGTTTTTAATTTCATTAGGCCGAGAATTAGACCGTTGGCATATTTTAATGCATTGAAATCATATATTGTGTAGAAATGGAGGTAAGGAAATGAAGAAAACAAGAAACATGTAACAATAATAATATCAAATATTTTACAATATATCAATTTTTTTATTTTTTTCTCTATATATACTCAATGTATGAAAAAAGAGAAGAAAATTCATCTAGGGGGAAATCAAGGGTGATGAATTGGCAGTTGTGAAAAAATGTCTGTCGTTTGGGTACATACTGTATTACTTGCACGTAGTTCATTAAATTATTGACGAATTTCGTTTCTGATCAGACGTCATTTTCCAAAAAAAGGATTCCATTAGATTTATTATTGTATGTTTTCAAATAACTATACCTATGTATATTTGTAGTGCCCAACTTGATGCAATTCTTGACACAGCAATGTTTTTCCAAGCATTATCTTATAAAATAACAACAAACATAACCCAAACATTGGTGTCAATGAATGTCTATAATCATCTGTTCCAATTTTCAGAGGTGAATACGGAGTTCTTGGTACATCTAATAGTATTTTTGCGTTCTGGATATAAGAATCTATTAATGAAAATAATATTTCCCTGGAATCCTTCACAATGTGTGAAATATTGTAAAAAAAATGTGTTTTGAAGGTTCTTGCAAATTAAATGGGTGGAATTTCTAGCATTTCCGCAATAATACTCAAGGCAGTCCTGATTTATATTTCTTATCAAAATGTAGAAATGCTCTTCAACTTCCAAATCATTCAGAATCATGTAGAAATGTCAAAATAATAATTGGCCACCCCTTTATGAATCTCATTTGGTTAGTTTTTTGTTCCAAAAAAGGGTTTGTTGAATTCTTCGCAGTCATTGTATCGATTTGAATTGAATATGTCGAACAACTTATAAATGTTGCTGTTCCTATTGCAGATTGGGGTAGTTGATTGAAACTCATATACATATTCATAGCTGCGATTACAGGATGACTGAATACCTGAGACGTCAGTTAGTCTTGATGCTATTCTGTATTATTTAGTTGTATCGATATCATATACATTTTTTACGTGATTTGTCTGTGATATATGTATTCATCGTATTTTACATAATCGTCAAATGTGGTTTGTCGTACATTACAGTGAGTGAGGAGTATCAAAAACTGCTATCACTTTTTTCGTCGACTAAGAAAAATGAGTTTCAAAGAGATCCTCCTAGTTCCATTCGAGGAATTCTATAAAAATTTGATCTCAAATCTGAAATAACTCCTCTCACATTAAGTCCAATTTTTGCTCTTCTGTGATATGGTTTTAAACCACATAACATCAAAGTTTCGGGGTCCCAACATTTCCTCTCGTTGACAGGCGAGAGATCGCTTCTGATAAAAAGAGATATTCCAAAGTTACGTCTGAATCGGTAGTGAAAATCATAGCCGGGATATGGAAAATTGACGGGGTTTGTTGAAGCACCGACTTTGGTTTCTGTGAGTGCAAGAATATGAGGACTATTTGAAGTTGCTAATGGGTCTCTTAGCGGCTGCAGTTACCATGTTATTTTCCTGAGAACTGATGTTAGGTAGATAGGTGCTACGAATACCTATTTCAAAATTTAAACTGATAGTTGTGAATATACTTTTGTTTAGTGAATTTTATTCGAAGTCAATATTATTAGTTACCAGCTGGGATACTAGGCTTCGCTCAGGGAATTGATACGAAATATGGGCTAGTGGCAGAAAATGGATACAATTATAAGAGGTTGACGGATCTTGCTTTATAATCCCTATCATTGGGTTGCCCCATTTATACAAAATGCTTTGAATGATCTGCAATATTCCAGAACATTCCACAGTAATTAAGATCGTTTTGGTATCTTTCAAAATGACCTGGGGGATATTCCCGAACATTCCAGACTATTCCAGAATATGTTCAATAACACAAATCTCCAGAAAACGAAACTTCCCTTCTCTATATCTTCAAAAGCACGCCAACGGAAAACTTTTTTATAGATGGGGGACGGAAAGCTTCTTCCCTTGATGTTCCGAGATATTTCTTTAACGTTCCAGATTATTACCGAACAGTCTATCAAATTCCAGAATGGTTGGGATGTTCTCGAACACCCTCGAATGTTCCAGAGTTTTTTAGACTTTTCCCAGAAACTTTCAACCTCTATATCTTCAAAAGCAATTTCTTCTAGTAAAACCGAGAACCTTCTTTACAAATGGGGGATAGTGAGAGATCTACCACACCTTTAACCATTCCACAAAGATCTAGGATGTTCTTATGATGCACTGTTTGGATCCTTTGGTGTAGTAATGAATATTACTGGAGTTTTTTCCCAACACCAAATCGTTATTTTTAACACCTCGACACGTGTTTCGATCACCAAGTGATCATCGTCAAAGAGGAAGGTAACCTTCCTCTTTGAAGATGATCAAAGAGGAAGGTTATCTTCCTCTTTGAAGATGATCACATTTCATTTCACATTTCAGATATGGCGGAATACATTCTTCAATTATCTTTCAAACTAATATGACCTTTGTGATTTTGCATTCTTCTAAAACTTTTAGGCAGCTATTGGTTTCAACACGACCGATCAACCATGGAGGTGTGGAGGAACTTTAATTAGTGACCGATATGTCCTCACTGCTGCTCACTGTACATTCACAACGGATGCGTGAGTATATTTATTTTACATATATCTAAGATAGGTTGAGTGGAAAAATGAAAATCAGTAAATTATTCACACAACATTGTTCTGAGCGATAAATGATGACGCAAATCAATTAAAAGTTATCTTTTGGAAATAAATAACTTGGTAATTTGTGACTAACGAGAATGCATAGCAGGTAGGTACTAGTACAGGTTTTTTATAATATCAGAAATTGATGAAGTGTTTAGGCTTCTGTCTGTAGTTTCGTCATCCCAACTTGAACATCCGGGTTGAGGCAAATCAGGAACGGCTTCTGGTAATGTCTTATTTGGGGGACTTCGTGAGTGAGTCATATCAAATCAAATCAAATATGCTTTATTGTCCAAAGTATAAACTCGTTGACAAAGCTGATCATGTATAAATGAGTTTCACTATAATAACTATACATTATACATATACATTGGTTTGATGTATGTGTCATACTGACATATGGTTACGATTTTTAGTGCACAGCTAAAACAATTATAGATAAATAAATGAAAATGCATATATAAACACACATAAATACCACACACATACATATTTATATACATCCTAAATGAACGAATAGTCAGACATTAATAGGTAAATAAAGAAGTCAATAAATAAAATATATAAATAAGTAAGATAAACAGACACTGTTTTCAAAATTGCAGGAGCTATTGAAATCAACATAAGCAGTGCTTGAACAGGGAATAATTTTATTTCAGAATTCCATCCATATCTTTATCAAAGTACTCTTGAACACTATAAAACACCTGGTCAATGAGAACTTGCTTTACAGATTTCCTGAACTGATAAGGTGATTGGATATCTTTAAGACTGGTCGGTAGATGGTTATATATTTTAGCTGCATTATAGATCAATGAGTTTTTAATCAAATTTGATGATGGAATAGGCAGTCTTAATTTGTCGCTTTGGCGAGTGAAACCAACAACAACATCGTAAGATGATTTGTTCTTATGCACTAGGCACACAGTTTCGAGTATGAATAAAGAAGAAAGTGTTAGTAATTTTTGCTCCTTGAACAAGGGTTTACAAAACTCTCTAGGCCCAACTTTGCACAGATATCGGATGGCACGCTTTTGGAGAATGAAGACTGTATTGAAGTGTTGTTGGTTGCAGGTGCCCCAGAATGATATGCCATATCTTAGATGCGATTCAACCACAGCGTAGTACACAATTTTTGCAGTTACAATACCCAATTCATTTGACACCGTTCGTAAAGCATAACATCCCGAAGCTATTTTTTTGCTCAGCAAATTAATATGGTTATTGAAATTGGGGTTGCTGTCCAGAGTGATTCCAAGAAATTTATTTAGTTTTTTGTTTGATATAATATCATTACTCATCGGAATGCCTGACAAGTTGCAATTGAATGATATCAGATTGGTTTTTTCTATATTGAAGGATAGCAGATTGGAGTTGCACCACTCTCTCACTTTAAGAATATCTTGTGCTATTTTGTTTTGAAGTGGGGATGATGATGAGTGGGGATGTTTATATCTGTGTTATCCTCAAGATTATCTTGTACATCTACACAAACTGGTGGCTGATAATCGTAAGTAAAATCTGTGTCAGTAAAAATATTTGGCTGAATCGGAAAAATGCCAGTACATCTAAAACCTGATATTGCTTTGTCTATTGAGGCCACTCTAATGTATGCTTTATCAAAGATACTTGCAACATCATAAGGTGTTATCTGGAGTAAATTATTTGATCTCATGTATAGATCACATTCCTTATAATATGCCTTTTTCAGGGGTCCAAAGAACGTGACGTCCAACGGCTGCATTCGGTGAGATGAATGCGGCGGTAGTGAAAGCATAGTTATATGATTGTTCCTGCAATAATTATAGGCTTCAAGTGTTGCGTGACTAGAATGATTGTCTAGCACTAGCAGAACTGGTTGATCTTGACTCCATTTTGTGAATTTAACAAAATGCTTCAGCCATAACAGAAACATCTCATCGTTGGTCCAGCCATTGAATGTGACCTGATATTCTGCATCAGCGAGTCCGCCTTTAGCTAGTTATGATGAAAATCGTTTTCTTGGAAACAAAAAGAAAGGTGACACATATGATCCAACAGCGCAAATTACGGTAATATTTTTGCCACGTTCCCAACTAGTTGCTGAACCTATTCTTTTTGTCCTTTTTTTGCTAAAATGTTTCCTGGTTCTTGAACCGTTGTTATGCCGGTCTCATCCATATTATATATATTCAACTTTTGAAATTTATATTTGGGCATAACTGCTTCAAGATTTTCAAAGAATCGTGTGACTTCTGTTTTGTTGAAACCTTTGATACGATTGATACTCGTGGCTTCGGGCTTACGGACACTAATGGTAGGATTTCGTTTCAAAAAACCTTCCAACCAGTCTCTTCCAGCTAAGTTGGCTGCTTCTGGGTATTGAATCGATGCTTTATCTTAAGATTTTCTGCGCATCTATAGGCAAGGCGACAAAATTGCCATCTAGATAAACCATAGAACATGTTAGAGAGCTTAATTAGATGGGCAGCCATTTCTTTTTCTTGTTCGATTGTAAAACAAGGACGTCTGCCTATATTGCGCCGAATGCTGCAAGTTGCCCTTCTTTAATATTCTCTGGAAGGTTTGGTAGGGGATATTACATTGAAGAGCTGCTTTTCTTATACCCATTCCATTAGCCACCAACCTAGCACTCCTTTGGAGATCTTCTGATGTCCACAAACCCTTATCGGTTTTTCTCTTCCACGTCCTGGGCATCTGAAATAAACATTAGGATAATGGGGTAATGGGAGCCATTGTGGCACCTATTACCCCAAGGTGCATTTTTTATTTAAAATGTTTAAAATCAAAAACAGCATAATTTAACAGAAAATCAAATGAGATGCAATGAAATTACATACTTTTACGAACCTATAGTGATAAAATAATATGGATTAGACAAAAACCAATAATACTTACCGCGCCAATAACTTGCACGAATCTCTAGAACAAGAGTTCACAATTTCACTCCTCTCCGATCAACAGTTTAAAACGAACTGATTTAAATAACAGCGTATCTATGAGCCATCACAGCTTAAGGTCAAGCGTAGAGGGCGTTCAGAAGTTACAATAAGGCGTTCCAATCCTTCTTAATAAGGTGGCTCCCATTACCCACTGGCTCTCATTTTCCCCATCTCCCCTAAACTATATGAATGTAAATAAAAAACTATTCATCTTCATTCGTTAATTCAGAGTCAGTGTGCTTTGACGATTTTCAAGCTGAACATTCAACAGAGAGCTTCTCTAATCGATAATACAGCATTTTCCGATAAATGATCATACACAAACTAATTTCGCAATATGCAATATGCAGAGCAGATCTAATTAAGACAGCACTGCCGTCTGTTACCTTACTGAGTTCATTGAAGCTCCACCACTTATACAAAACCTTCGTTTACAACTGGAGTCGTTTTAACAACAATGAAATATTGACAGTTCCATGTCGTGCACAAAGCTGCATACAGGAAAGCATCCCTCCAAGCATGGAAGAAGAGTAAACAATCAGACAGTTGGTGTCGGCGCCTTTGATCTAAAGAAGCCAATTTTGGTAATTTCTCCCATTTTGTGGGGGCGAAACTCGGCGTTGCCGATATGGAAGTGACATTTCCAGTTTATGCAATGAATTCATTTTTCTGTGATCAAAATTTCCCAAACGGATTTTTCTGTGTTGTTTGTATGCTTTAACCAATGAAAAATTAGTCCTGACAAACACTATGAAAATGGATATTTCAAATAATTATCACAAAGAATTTTCAAACCACATCGCAGTTCATCCAGTAAAAAACATTAAAACAATACATCAGGCATTAGAGAAGAAGAAAGCCTGTTCACACTGCGATATCGAATCCAATTTTTCCCAGGTGTAAGAAAAAAAAGAGTTATGTCATTAAACCAGAACCATCTCCAGCATATTATTCAGTATTTCGGAAGTTTCGCCGCTTCAAAATTCCGGAAAAGCAGATCTCGCAATAGCGTATGATCCTCTATTGTCTATTGGAAAAGCTTGACCCTGATCATATTATATTATAAGTTTTTTATTTGAAGATCTCATTGTACCGAGTGGAAGAAATTATGATGCATATAATGGACGAACAACGATAAGATACGGATTATGATGGGACAAACAATACGTTGTGTCACACGAATCGACTATAAAATATTTGTTCAATAGTCGTAAGTGGAAATAAAAAAAAACAGGAAGAAGATAACAGTATCTGAAATTAATCCAAAGCAACAACAGCAAAACAAGTCCAGATGACAACAGACAACAGTATTGAACTGAAGTTGCCGAAAGCACAAGTTAAATATATTGTTTCGCAGCAGATCCCCTACCCCCTGACAAGCCATTGAAATGACAAACGTTTGTTTCATAACGACAATCGTTCCCATGGTAAACGTATCAATGAACGTGAATAATGCTAAGAATATTCGAGGAATTTGGCATATAAAATGTCATCAACAGTTTCTCAGGTCTAGAAAGTGACTTGAAAATTATCTTTACCTCTCTGTTTTTCTCTCTCTTTTCAATGATTTCCACTTTTTGGAATTTGATGCAGCAGATATAGAGAAAAGCGTTTTGAATTAATACGTTGAATCAGCTATTGACTGAGTTAATCAGCGTTGAATCAGTCAATGCTGGTCAAGTTTCATCGTATTCGAGTGTCCCCATAAAAATATAACAGATTCAAATCTGATGACCTTGTGGGCTTATCCGCTGATCCTCTTCGGTCGATCCACCTACCGGTGGATAACAAGGGTATAATATAGTAAGGTTGCGACCCATCTTATTGAAGTGCTAAATAATTTTCATTGTAGTGGTCATCAGGTTCAAGAATATGTTTAAATGCGGAATCGACAGTGATCTTGTAACAATTGCAAGTACATTTCTCCTGCAAGATTTTCTTGTAGAAAAAAAATTACCAACTCAGTCGCCAAGTAACCGACCCGTTTACAAAAAACTAACACTCATCTAAGAAACAATTATTGACTAGCAATTCGGGTTATTTAATATTTGTTTATTCATTAACTCGCAAAATTCTAAACAGCTGATGATATCATCTTCATTTATTTCGTAAACAAGTTAACTTTTATAATGGCGAAATTAATGTGATTTTAGAATTCTTAGAATACTCGTACGTTTCATGTCAGAAACTGTAGATTATTGCCTGGCACTTATTCTCATCGTTTCATTGATGAGTTCCTTCTTCGATTTGCCACTGATTCCGTCTCTCTGAGTTTGGCTATGAATTCAATCACGTACTTTCGATTGAGATGCTTATCCGAATTTTGGATATTAAACAACTGTGCTGTGATATCAGCTCACCTATCATTTTCAATATGAAGATTAATAATCTATACTCTTTCTGCAGTTGAATGAACAATTTCAGCAAAAAAATAACCCGAAGTAGTTACAATTGAAATCTGTGAGATATTAAATGTAGATGAATGGAATTCTGAATACTTTTGAAGAGAGATCGAGACAAAAACTGCATTTATTGTTACCAGCATTGAATGCCAGAGTAGGTTATACTAAATTGTAAATAGGCAAGTGAAGTAGGCGCCTTACGTTCGTTTATCGCCAGATTTTTCAATAACGTTTTTTTTACTGGAAATCTACTGAAACAAGTTTCAGAAAGTGGGAAGTATTGGAAAATAAAAGAGTAGATGACTTTTCAAATGAGGTATCACTTAACCCCCCATTTCCATTCAAGATTTGAGAGTTGAATTTCACCCCGCCGAATGGGTGTAAGTGAGAAGATTAATAATAGGCGCAAAATATTTCCCCTTCGAAATAAAACTTGACGGGTCTGAGCAATTTTTTTTCTGTCTACCCTGTATATCGTTTTTGATAAAATCAGTCGATCACTTCCTATGAAAATATCTATCTAAAAGAGATAAGTATCCAACTTTCCTTCCTTTGCGTCTCCAGCCATCAGGCGGATGACTATCTCCTTCCTCAGAGTATGCTTACAGGTGGAGCTATTACGCGAACAATATTTCAGTGAGGATCTAATTTGAAATATAATTGAAAATTATATATAACTTTCAGTGCGAAATAGTCTTTCGAAAGAGCTGGAATTAAATCATTGGAAACACATTTGATATTGAACATATTTATGATGTAGGTTATGGATTTACTGAAAACACTTACTGTCTCTCGTACATAGTCCTAATCATCTTCTGATGATGCTAATTCAGTTAGCGAAACACGATTCGGGAGGTAGTATTTTTGTTCTGCTGAGGGAAAAATGTATTCAATAGATTAATTTCACGCCAAAAGCTCGAAATTCTACTCATCAAGCTTCCGGATTATGTATCCTAACATGATGTCCATTTCCACCACGTTTACCTTTTTAGAGAAATCAAATGCCTGTTCGCATTAACTTCTATTTGGTTTCAGTCATATCAAGGATAATTTTTTCCAGGAGATATACAGCTTGTAGCTATTGAAGATTTTGTATTGGCAGTCGATGTTCGGGCATCCAAATGGAAAGAAGAGGCAAGTGAGATGTCGTCAGCAAAGTAATATATGGGATTTCTGGCCTTTTTTAATGAATCGTTGATGTACAGTCCATAAACGGGATGGAGAAAATATGGATTCTTAGGGTTGATGGTAAAGGCATCCGAAAAAGAACGCTCGATCGCTATTTGAGAAAAACGATTTTGGAGAAAGCTGGAAAGCTACGAACAACAACGATCTCACAATTCACAATAACGTTAACCATCATAAAAACCACTTCCAAGGCCTTGGAACCATCAAGTATAATAGCATGTCACCCGATTGGTGACATATGAAAAAAATACACCTTCGATCTTTGTTTCCAAATATTCAAGAAGTCGATTAACAACATTCTTCATGATTTTCAATAACATCGATAATAAAAGCAACTAGCCGACAGAAATTTGAAACATGTTTCTTGGCCATTTTGGTTTAGTCTGAATTCGAGCAATATTTCAACAAGAAAGATATATATTTCCCTGTATCTGTCATATGAATCGATAAAAAATTGGCTGTTATTGGATCGCAACAACTGATAAATCGAATTTCTACTTCAGAAATCTTTTCTCACTTTCAAAGTTTTCCTGTATTGACCCTATGCGTAGCATATTATATCTAATCGTTTTTTGAGTTGTAAATTGAGCCATAATTTCTAGGGGCCCACCATCAGTTGTTCGACTTGGAGTGCTTGATTTATCCATCAATAGAAACAGGTCAGAGCATATGGACTATACCATTTCAAAGGTTGTCTTGCATCCCGAGTATAAATATTCCATGAAATATAACGATATTGCTCTTCTGAAAACTTACTCGAAAGTAATATTCACAAAATTCATAAGACCAGTATGCTTGTACACCAAAAGCATCATCGACTATCCAACTGGAGTAGCAACAGGTTGGGGGAAAACAGAATTCGCTGGGGATAACAGCAACAAACTTATGGCAGTAACTCTTGATATCTACCCAAATGAACGATGTTCTAAAATCGCGGAAGTTGATAGTGATCAATTGCCAAACGGAATAACCTCGAATATGTTGTGTGCCGGAGATATTCGAGGAGGGAGTGACACTTGTACAGTGAGTAGAATTTTTTTTCACAGTTATATGAAATACGCAAAGGGTGTATGTAGTAGATATACATTTCAAAGAATTTTCCCAAACTTGCTCAATATACTATTTTATCGCCTGGTTTCAGTTGAAACATGCAATGTGAACCTTTTTGATATGATTTTACTATTTGATAACTTTGCTGTTAAGGTCTCTTGCAATTTAACTATATAAGCAATACTAATAGTTGATAGACTTCTTATAACCATGATGAAGCGGAACTATGTAAATGTTCAAAGGCCTTTCCGATATAAACGTTCAAAAAAAGTCTACTTTTATTTTGAAAATAATGGACAGCATAATGACATTTCCATAATATATTTTTTTGGGGGCGATAAGTCCCTAATTTCCAGCATCGTATAAACATAAAATAACCTGCATCATATTTACATCCCGGAAAGTACGTACAAGAAATGATGGAAATTTTGAGTAAGGTGAACAATATAATTGAAAATTGATAAATGTATTGTTATATATTTGGTCGGTGGTTCAAGCCCCAGTCTGAATGATCGATTTTCACTTGCTATCGTCCAACCCATGTTAGGAATCACACGTTAAAAGAAAAGACTTCGTTAATCCTTAGCTCGCACAAGTTTCACATTCTGAGAATGGTCGTTCGTAGAAATACGACAGCTAGTTAACCAAAAAAACAGATTTTAAACTGATTTTTTTAGATATTACTAAGGCATCCTATTGAACTAACTTTTTTTTAATATACTGACGCGTTACTTGGTGAAAATCAATAACACTATTCATGATAATGATTATAAACCTTCACAATTAAGACTTCATTTCCAATACGCGTGTCACTACAACAGTAATTTCCTTAGTTGGGCTGGTAATTGGTATTGAAAATAAATTCTGTATTGTGAAGATTTGCAATTATCATCTTGAATAGTATTAAACTTACGTCATCACTCATTACTCATGTATTCACATTATGTATTACTTTACTATGCGAACAAGCAATGGACATTCTGAAAAGTGAACTTTGCTGCGTCTTGAATCTACGTTCCACCTATGATGAAGCAAACGCTTACTCAGCAACACCAGAGACCTTTATATCAGATAAATGCGACAAATTCTTCACTTTCAGATAATGTACTCAATCAAGCCTAGATATATTGTATTTTGTTGACAGGGCGATTCTGGAGGACCTCTCTTGATAACGAAAAACGGAAATCAATGCAAGTTTTACATCGTGGGAATAACGTCATTTGGAATATCTTGCGGGGTAGTAAATACTTCTGGAATCTACACCAGAGTTTCCGAATACATTTCATGGATCGAGCAAAACATATGGTAGATGAAGAAACATTGAGAAGTTTCAAATTTTCCATTTTGTGATTTCGAACACATTCTAATTTTAAAATCTTCTCGCCAAAGTGAAGCTAGGCAGATCTATTAATTCGATGGAATGAAATTGAGAACTATTGGCTATGTTCATACTACTTTTATATACGATCTGTGTTTTACACGCATGCTGTGCACCCGAAGCGTCACGATAAATAACGAAATTAATATTATCAATATATTGATATAATCTAACTAATGAAGTCGAGATGAAAAATAACTGAAAAAGTAGTAGTCATTATATGTTAAATTCAAATGTTTTTTCCAAAAATGCTAAACAAAGCAATATGTTTCAAAATATCGAAAACGTTTATTGTAAAAACGCGCAATTTTCAATCCATATGCAAAAGTTTTGTGGCTTATGATATTTTTAGTTTTTCAACCATTATTTGTATATTGCACCTGTGTTCCTATCTTCTTAAAAATATCTCAGTTTTGATAATACTGTATTCCAAACACATTTTCTATAAAGTTGCGCCATATAAAATGTATGTTTTTCTACAAAATCCAAAATTAAACTTTGATCAAATGAGATTGTGTGTTTTCAAAATTCCCTAATCTCTAATCTACGCTAACATGAACATGACCAAATGGTTTTAGAGAACTAAGTACATCTATGTTGTACATGTTGTTGTACATCTTATGAGGGCAATTATCAGCAAATATATTAAAATTAGGCTATTCCACATTAGCAAAAGCGCCATAGATCACTCTGATAGCGATAGGCAAAAATTCAATAAATTAACTTTATTAATAGGTCAATAATCTTATTCCTAATTTGGCAAATTTGTCATCCTGGAAAAAGTTCGGTGTTTTACAATTCCTACCGAATTAATCATACAAATATGGCGACCGTTTTCTCGCACCAATGCCAGTGTCCTCACCTATAACGTACACTCCGTTCCTAGTATAGTCCAAGTAACCTGTAGTGTTAATGGTTGTGGAAGCTATCGACGAGCTCAAAGGCCAAAAAACCAATACAAAAAAATGATGCCGCTGCCAACTAGTCCAGCCCTGTCCAAAAATTACGACCAAGGTGTCATTCGATTCGTATTTTTGCCTAGAAAGTTTAAAAAAAAATCCGAAAACGCGCCGATAAAAATTACAAAAGTTATAAACAATTAAGTGAAAAAAAATGGGGCTTTAGTTTTTTCTTAATATCTCGGAAAATTTTCAAAATTTTGGAAATTTGAAAAAAGATTTGANTTTCGGGAGTCGGGACTTTTTTACGCAAATCCATTGATCTTTTCAAATCTTTTTTCAAATTTCCAAAATTTTGAAAATTTTCCGAGATATTAAGAAAAAACTAAAGCCTCATTTTTTTCACTTAATTGTTCATAACTTTTGTAATTTTTATTGGTGCGTTTTCAGACCTTTCCTTAAACTTTCTAGGCAAAAATACGAAAAATACACCTTGGTCGTAATTTTTGGACAGGGCTGAAAAATGTCACCAAAAAGAGCTAAATCGAGTACATGTGAACCAGACTATGTTGTCAATGTTCAGTTCAGGGACTGATCGTGATTTGAGTGTTGAAATTCGATATTGGTGCAGTTATAATTATTACTTGAATTTTTTATCTGTTTAAAATGTGGCGTCCTTGGACAAGTACTAATAGATAGTAATAACGAGTGTGATAACACATTGTGGTGAAAACACATTGCATCGACAAGTGGCTGATATTTTTAACGCAAGACATCCTGGTAGACATGTACAGCAATCCACTGTAAGTAGGATTTTAAAAAAATTTAAACTGACTGGTTCAGTTGAAAATACTTTTAAAAAACGTCATAATCCATCACGCAATAATGATGAGGTTCAGTTGGCTGTCTGCCTGGATGTTATCGAACAGGGAAAATCAAGTATTACCAATATTGTAGATAGAACTGGCGTTAAAAGAGAAAGCGTAAGAGCAATTTTACATAAAAATAAATTCAAACCCTACAAACCCAAATTTATAAATACCTTAAAGGAAAGAGATTTCGATGTTCGACTAGATTTCTCTTTCTGGTACCAAGGAGAAGTAGAATTAAACAGAAAATTTCCTTACAAAATCCTATGGACCGACGAAGCTACCTTCACATCGAACGGCGTAGTC